GGAGCCCAAGTGAGGGGAAGCTCTGCCTGAGGGGAAAATGGGGCTGAGCGAGAAACCCAACGGAGGAAACAGGAAAAGGTCAGACCACCTGTTGTTGTAGCGTATATTGAATGAATGGAGGAGGCAGGCAAAACGGATAAAGAGGATAGAAGGCATAGAAAAATAGTTTTTTTTTTTTTTTTTTTTTTTTTTTTTTTTTTTTGCTTGTTCGTTGTTGTTGTGGGTGGAGGGGGTGGGGGAGGGGGGATCCTCCTACCTTGGTGGTGGACCTCAGCCAACGCCTCAAGTCATTTTACGTGTTCATTTCTTCTCCCACCTTTCCTCTTCCTTCTTTCCTTCATCCACTTCTTCTCTCTTAAGGTGTGGGATCCGTGCTGGAAGGGTGAAAGTCCTCCATACTCCATTTTCTCTTCTTTATTTCTACTCTTCTCTCCCATACTAAGCTACAGCACTCTACAGCCTTTGACATCTAACATAATTTTGTCCTAATTGTTAAATCTAACTTTTTTCGCAACACTAAACAATTTTTTTTCCTAATTGTTAACTTGGCTTTATCCTTTTCGCCACACTAAACATAATTTTATCCTAATTGTCAACTATAACCCTTTCCGCCACACTAAACAATTTTATCCTAATTGTTAACTCAGCTTTATCCTTTTCACCTCACTAAACACAATTTTATCCTAATTGTTAACTCTAACCCTTTTCGCCTTAATATCTTATCGTATTGCATGACCTTTGACCTCGGATCTTCGCCGCCAAGCTTCAACCTACCGCTTTATATATTGAATGAGTCACTGAAGACCTTTTAGATGTCGACACGGCAGAAAATTTTCAATGAATAAGAATATACTACGTATCTGAGACGAACAGGAGAATGGAAGCGATAGAGAAGGAGGATAAAGAGGTGGGACATACGAGAGGAAATAATACGTGTTTGGGAGGGACGGGATAATAGAGGAGATAGCCAAAACGGCCAAAGAGGAGATAGGACAAAGGGGAGAAAATAATACTTAGGAGGAACACATAATGGAGGAGATAACGCAAAGACGATAAACAGAGGTAGGAAACAGAAGAGAAAATAATACGTATATGATAACAATAAAACTGAGAGACCTAGACGTAAAACGGGGAGATAAAAACATAAACGAGGATAATTATTAGAGAAATTGTGAGACAAAATAAAAAGGAGAAAAAAAGAAATCAGAAGATAAAACAAGACATTAACTATATATTTAGATATATAATTAATATAATGGGTATTAGATATCACATTGAATTTAAAAAGTATTAGCTATTTAAAGGTAGCGCAACACAGGTTAGGGACAAACGTATAAATCAGGGAAGATGACGATGATAATTTTATACATATATATATATATATATATATATATATATATATATATATATATATATATATATATATATATATATATATATATATAGTGTGTGTGTGTGTGTGTGTGTGTGTGTGTGTGTGTGTGTGTGTGTGTGTGAGTATGTGAGTGTGTGTGTGAGAGAGTGACTGTGCGTGTGTATGTGTGTGTGTGTGTGTGTGAGTGTGTGTGTGTGTGTGAGTGTGCGAGTGTGTGTGAGAGAGTGACTGTGCGTGTGTATGTGTGTGTGTATGTTTGTGTGTGGAAAGAGATAGAGAGAGTGACTGTGTGTGTGTGTTTTGTGCGTGTGTATGTGTAAACATTGTGTATATCAAATCAAGACGGACCCAAATGAGCCGAGAGACAAACGGATGATACGAGGAAACAGGATAAATATTTGTTAATGTTTACAAACTCGTCTATTCCACAGGCCAGTTTAAACGATTCTAAACGAGTTTCAACGATTTCTCTCTTCTCTCTTCTCTCTCTTCTCTCTCTCTCTCTCTCTCTCTCTCTCTCTCTCTCTCTCTCTCTCTCTCCTCCCTCCACACACACTCACACACACACAAACAAACAACACACACAACACACACACACACACACACACACACACACACACACACACACACACACACACACACACACACACACACACACAACACACACACACACACGCACACACACACATATCTGTGTGTGTGTGCGTCCAGCTTTCACTAATCCGGCAAACTTGCAACCAGACAAATGCAAGAGGATAAGCTTTTTCCGGATTAACGAAACTCTGTAATTCCCGAAATCCGGCGCCGTGTCTAACAAGGATGTCTTTTTGAATGCCGGATGGGAAGGGATCCGTGGTTGAAATGTTTTTGTTCCATTGAAAGGTCCTTAACCAAGCTTCGAAATTATAATGGTCATGTTAATTGGATATATTGATCATGTTATCTATCTACTGATATGATATCCTCTCTTTCTGTGTTTATATGTGTCTATATCTGTTTATATATGTCGGTCTGGCAAACTATTTGTATATCTGGCTTTCTATCTCTCTCTCTCTCTACCTATCTAATTATATATCCCCCTACGTTCCTACCTACCAACCTACTCAGCCATATACTAACTAATAC